ATATTTTGCTTCAAATAGTTCTGTTCTGTTTTTGTCCTTTTGATTTTATTTTAGTTTGTTAATTTTGACTGAAATCATATTTTTCCTGCTTTCACCATGCTTAGTTTAACTGTGTTTTATCAAAATTAAAACGATAATTTTTTTTAAAAAAAAAAAAAAAAAGAAGAAACATTAGGGTTGCTGACCCCTCCAAACCTAGACCTACTCTTGGTCGAGCCGTGACTCGTGCATTATCTAGTCTAGATCTTAGTCTAGTTCTAAGCTTAAGAGTTGCCTCTAGAGATAGACTAGGCTTACCCTAGTTCAGGGTCTTTGCTAAGGTTTTTACCCTTAGTGTCAGGCTAGGTTTGCCCTAAGTCATCGAGTTTAAATCTTACCTAAGTCTAGATTTTAGAACCCAGCCAAAAGCAATCACCATGTCAGTCACTCAAGGCGACCATGATGACTGCTCCAAAGCCAACTTTAAGCCTAACCTGCCCAAACCTAAGGACCAGTATGCTGTAATCCCTTAGAGTTATCGACGGAACTCAGGACAATCCATTGTTTAACGCCCAAGTCTTCAATTAGAGGCAGAGCCCCAAGCATCCACTCTTAATCCTTAGATCTATGTGGTCCGAAAAACCAGCTCCACTCAAAAAATCTTGAATAGTCAGGGAGTCTGACCAAGCGTCATCGTACAAGGGATTTTAAGTAACCAAAGTAGAAGTTGAGTGAGAGAAGAAATTCATGAAACATCTAAAGTCAATTCTCGTAACTCAAACCAAGATAACTCTGAGGTGCAGCGATATCAAAACCACGTCCCACCTAGGTTTTGGGTATTTAACCCAACCTCGAGCCACCATAGTACAACTCATGATGTCCTGAACACTCTACGAAACAGAAGACCCTTGGGTGAGAAAGGCGTCCAAGCTGCCCTCAAAAGTCTAGTTGACCTAGGTTACGCTGTTCATGCTCCAGGTTAAGTGCCGATCCCAAACCAAGTTAGTGGTATAGGCCAACCCTTAACACAGTCGAGTCAATCGATTCTTCAATCGATCCCTCTGGTTCATCCGATCCAACAAACCGTGTAATTTCTGCAACCGATGGTGACACCTACGAGTCAGTATGCCCCTCAGGCACCAATGTATCAAACCACCCCGGTGACTGCGGCTCATCAATCTCAGGCCCATGCGGGCCAACATATACCCCAAGTCTCAACTTATCAATCTACACTTGGGAACCCACCAACCGGTGGGCCCACTGCCACACCAAATACTCAACAAGAAAGCACCTTAAAAGCAATGCAGGATATGCTTGTAAGAATGGCCATGCATGAAATTCCACCCCCAAAGGCCTATGTTCATGAGACCTTTGCAAGCATGGAAAATCTTCACCTGGGATTTGTCGTCCCATAATTTAGAAACAATTTAAATGGGAAGAGCGATCGAGATACTCATGTCAATGCGTACTTCCTCTCCGTTTGAGCTTTGTGAGACAGACCTAACCAACTAAAGGCCATCTTTTCACAAACATTGACCGGTGAGGCCTTGAATTGGCATTGGAGAACATTGTCTGCTCGACCACACATCTCTCCAGATGAAATGTTCAACCTATTTGTCTCTCACTATCGTGGGTCGACACCAAGACCTCTCTCCCTTGGCGAACTTGGTGCAACAAAACAAAACCCAGGAGAATCTTTCGAAGATTTCATCGGTCGATTCAGCGAGGTGGCAATGCGGGTCATTGAATGTCTACTTACAGTCCCAGCCAAGATCTCCATAGTCTAAGAGATTGCTGCTCCCGAGTACATGACCTTCTTCAGCTAAGGTCTTATCCCCCACTCTTTCGACTCCATAATCGAGCGGGTGGCACGACATGAAAGGGCCAGAGGGACACCCCTCAGCACCAAGCCCGACACAAGCCGATAACAGCTCCCCAAAATAAGAACAAAAACAAGGGGAATGCTTTCGGTTAGGTTAATGAGATCATCGTTAACAGATCGGCCCAAGGTTCAGCGGCTCAACGCAACAATCAGAATCAAAACCGAAGGGGTCAGCTTAGTGCCAACGTTCAAAATAATAACCATATGCGAGAGGATAATTTCACCCCTCTCAAGGACCCATTAGAAAAAGCGTTTTAATTACTCTTGACTAAGAATATGGTTTATCTCCTACTACCATCTGAACCACCACTTCAAGTCATGGATAAGAGCAGGTGGTGCAAATGGCATCAAGGCCATGCTCATGATACTCAAAACTGCATATATATTTGAAATGGGTGATTCAAAGGTTAATCAATAGGGGGGACATCACTGTCGCACCTAGAAATCAACCTGTCGTCGAGCCTAATCAAAAGATGGGTATATTCACA